AGGTGGTGGAGTTAGAAGGGATGAGGTGGGGGGGGGGCGCTGTGATGGGATCCGTGTCCTTCTGAGAGAAGCCCCAGGGCCCCCTCCCCTCCCTCGGTCCCCAGAGGAGGCCACAGCGCGGAGGTGCCACCGCACCAGGAAGAGGCCTCGCGCCCAGCCTGCCGGCACCGGCCGCAGACCCCAGGCCCGGGAGGCCAATGTGTGCCGCTGACGAGCCACCCAGCTGGGGGGCTGTGTTGTAGCAACCCGAGCCAGACACCCCCCAACGAGTATCCCCCCCATGTACTCCAACAACGTCACCCCCACATACTCCACCAACATCAGACTCGAGGGGCAGGTGCACCCCAGCCCTACGTCAATGGCACCCCCACCCGGCTACCAGCCTCCAGGGTCACAGATGGGGCCAGTGTCCCCCCGACTCCCAAAACCCTCCCCTCCCCCCCCACCCCCCCCCCGCCCAGGCCACCAGCAGAGAACAAACACTCGCTCCCCGGCCACCTCTGCGCTGGGAGGCGAAGGCAGCCCAGATAACCCACCCGCCCGCGACACGCCCGTCCTGCCGGCCTCAACCCTCCCCCCTGACCAGCCTTATCTGTTTGCTTTTCACTCGACGCCATGGACCCAGCGGGGGGCCGGCGGAGGGTCCGCTCTGCGGGGTAGGGGGGACATTCCGGCTCAGGGGTGAGATGGGGCAGCTCCCCAGGGCCCTTGGAGTGGAGTCTTTGGGACCCTACACTCAGGGCAGGGGACAAGCCAGGGCTCCGGGCTCCGGGGACCCACAGCCACATGGAAATGGAGCCAGTGAGCACCACGGGGCAGCCCGGGCCCCACCACAGGGCTGGAGGGTGTGAGGAGGCGGCAGTGTTTGGAGGTGCTGATTGTGTGATGCCAACTCCAGCCACAGGGGTCAGAGGTGCGTGGAGGGAGGTGGAACCAAAGGGTCAGGTGTGGCGGCCGTGCTGGGGCTGTGCCGAGCGAGCACGGACTGTGTGGGGGCCTGAAGCTTCCGGGCCGGCCCGATCTGGGCACAGGTTCCCCACATACATCCCAGCTGAGCCCTGCCTGGTGGGCGGGCAGGTGGGTCCCTCCTGCAGGCTGCCTGGGCAGCAGGAGGGCGTCAGGCCCTGGCTGGCCGTCCCGGCCCACCCGGCGGGCATGCACAGCTCCCTGGGGCTGGCCACCCCTCCTGACACTGGCTCCTGGTCTGTGGTGCTCCTGGAGGGCCCAGCACCTGAATGGACACAAAGGCCCACAGGCCTGGAGGCGGTGGGCAGGGGCCCAGGGACCCGTCCAGGTGCCTGCGAGCGGCCCCCTCACCTGTCCTGGGACGCATCTCCCAGGGTTATGCCACCCGGTGGGGCGAGGGCAGTGGTCAGCACTGAGGCTGCCCGTCGGGGGCCCGAGCCCAGAAGGGAGGGCAGGGGCTGAGGTGGGGCAATACCCACCCCAAATCCAGGCCCAGGGGCAGAGGTTGAAATGCATACAGTGGGGGTCAGGCACGGGGGGCTCCACTGGGGGCTCAGTGAAGAGGGAAGTCTGGGGGTGAGGCTGCCCCGGGCAGTACCTCCCTGGGGTCTGTGCCCGGCCTGTGGCGCTGGCTCTGGGGCTGCCCAGCAGGGAGGCCCGGGCACAGGGCCTGCTGCTCTGGGTGCGTGTCTCGAGCGAGGCTGCAGGTCACGACTCTGGAGGCACCATCTCCGGCCCCCGTGCCCCCAGGAGCAGGCACCGAGGGCCGGGCCCCCAGGCCAGGCAAAGGGTCAGCAGGCCAACCCCTCAGCCACCCTTGACGCCGGATGCAGACGGTCCAGCGTGGCCGAGTCACAGGAGTCCCCGCCGGCTCCGCAGTGGAGTGCGCCCACCCCGTAGCCCAGGGCGCGGGTCAGCACCGGATCCGGGCAGCTGACGGCAGCCAGGCGCTCAGACAGGCGACGGCAGCCGGCCAGGCCAGGCCAGGGCGCACCAAGGCCATTCCTGTCGAAGCCTGAACCTGACTCCCCCGAAAGCCACAGCGCTCAGCCCTTCGCTGTGACCCTGGCTGGTGCAGCCACACCTAGGGCAGGGAAGCAGCGGCCCGCCTCCCCCAGAGCTCACACATGACAGGTGGGGTCCAGGGTGGGCGGCCCTGTGGGTGCTCTGGCACCTCCACAACCAGAGGCCAGCACCTGGGGTCTTGGGGGAGCCCTGCCCGTGCCGGGAGCCAGGCCCCCAGAAGGCCCTGCTGGGGCGAACGCCGGTGTCTTCAACAGCCTCAGACCCGGGGGAGGGGATGCGAGGCCACGGCGACGGGGGCAGTGCCCCCCTCCCAGGAAGCAGGAGGCAGGAGGCAGTGCGGGGGCCCTGGCCCTGGACTCCGAGGCTGGCCATGCCGGGCAGGCCAGGCCTCAGTGCCCACCGGGCTCCCTGACTCAGCCAGCCTGGCCCCGGGCCCCCGGTGCCGCTCAGGGCCAGCCACACTGACGAGGGCAGGGCAGGGGTCTGAGCTGGGGCCTGAGGCGCACAATCGCCCCTTGTCCGTCTGGGCTCCGCTTCGCCGGCGGCCAGCGGGACCTCTCTTATCGCTGAGACCGCTGGGAACAATGGCCACACACACGCTTATCTCCCCGCTGTTTGCTCAGCGCATTAGAGCGCTCCCAGGTCAGCCACAAACACGCCATTCTCCGTGATTTCCCGTGATGCCCCCGCCCCCTGCAGCACTGGAGCCCCCACCCCGCCGAGCACCCACCAACCCCTGCCCTCGAGGCCGCAGAGCCTGCGGTCACGGATCCTGGAACTCACAGCCAATGTTTCCAGGAAACTCCAACCACATCTCACACATGCCCACAGATGTATGTGTGCGCACGTGTACATACCCATGCCCACACGCACAACACACAGGCACATACCCACACACCCGGCACATGTACAGCAGACACACATGCACTCACAGCACACACCAAATACACATGCACACACTCACACATGACACACATACCTACACACAGCAGACACTCATGTATGCGCATGTGTAGATACACATGCCCACACACGGCACATTACAGCACTGGCACGGATGCACATGCTCACACACAGCACACACACCTACACACACAACACAGGAATGTATGGACACTTGGCTCACATACAGCAGTCACATGCACATGGTGACACACGACACACACCACACAGACACACATGCTCACACACAGCACGTGCATACACACGGCATACACAACACAGGTGCACAAGGCCACACACGACACACCTGCACACATGCTCAAGCTTCATTGGTCCAGGTGATATCCAAACCCCCGCCAGGGTCACATCTGTGTCCCTCAAGCTGCTGGGGTGACACTGAAGACCCCAACGTAGGGGACCCTGCCTGCCATAAGCCCCTGCGGTGACAGGGATGTCCCAGGACCACAGCCCCTCCCTCGGCTCCATCCTCACCATCCCCTGGTCCATCCTCCAGGCGCCAGGACCCCGAGAACAGGCTGAGGCTGACAGAAGGCCCCCTTGCCCTGTGCGATCCCTCCATGGAGCCCGGACAGCCGGTCAGCGCCCCAGGCCACGGCCCCTTTGGCACCGCCCCCGCTGCAGGGAGCCAGGAGGCCCCAGGACCCTCCGCCAGCTCCGGGAAGGCTCCGGGCTGCTGGGTGGGCACACGCCGGGCACAGCTCCGGCCACTCAAGCTTAAGGCTTAAGGAGAAAGGACCGGGCAGCACCCAGCCTCGGTGCCTGAGGGCCAGCAGCTGGCCGAGTGGGCTTCTGGAGAGCAACTTTTTATTAAACCAGATGAACAGGGGCCGCTCCCGTGTGTGTGGCTGGGCCTCGGGTGGGCGGGCGGCCCGAGCCCGGCCACGTGGGCGCTGGTCTGTGACTCACAGTTTGGCCCCTTGTGAGGAGGCCGGGCTGGGGCCGGCCGGCGGCCCGTGGAAGGAGCTGGGGCTCCCGCACCCATGTCTCCGTGAGGCCAGACCCCCCTCAGGAAAGAGGAAGCCTCCTGAGCCGCACCCCGAGTCTAACCTCGGGTCCCACTCGGGGCCAGGCTGCCTGGAGAGCTCCCAACTTCGAGGGACTCCCAAGTATCCAAACACCCATGTCCCTGGCCCTCACCTCACCCTGACCATGACCTTCACCCCGGACCCCTCATGGCCCTGGCCTACGTCCTGCCCATGGACCAGGCCCAGCGGCCCTGCTGCCCCTGCTCCCTGAGATGCTGGCCCAGGAGCCACGCCCTCCCCCACCAGGGCTGTGGGCGCTGCACCCTAAGGCTGGCACATACCCACATGCACCCCCAGGTGGGCAGCCCCAAGCCTCCTGCCCCTGCTCCTCTCCTCAGAGCTGTGGGAGCAGGAAATGGAACGGGGCCCTGGGATATAGCTTGTCCCCCCACCCCTCCCAGGACCCGAGGCCAGAGGCAGGCAGAGGGTCCCAGGCACAGCCTGTCCTCCGGCCTCCAGGCCTTGTCCTGTCTGAGCCCAAGGCCACCGCCCACCCATGATGGCCTCGCACCCAGGACCCCGATGACCCAAAGGCAGTCCTTCCATGGGCGGTCTTTTTCCCAGGTCGGGACTAAGGCCCAGCATGCGGGGCCGTTTGGGGGTCCTGGGGTCCAGGTGAGAGTGGAACTTGCCCCAGGAGCTACGCTCCCCGCAGGGGCAGAGGGGTGCCTGCCCCCCCTCCCCACCTGCCCTAGACAAGCCCCTCTGGGCCCCTGGGCTGCGGCTGACGGTGTCCATGCTGACCCCCGAACTGTCCCCCCGGAACGGCCCCCCTGGAACCGACCCTCAGACTGGCCCCTGGCAATCCCCGCCTGGAGCCAACGGGAAGGGTGCCAGCCCAACGGAAGTGGCGATAATGGGGCCGCTGCCGCCCCGGGATCTTTCCAAGAAGTCCAGGTCCTGATAAAGCAACGCCGAGATCCTGTTTGTCCGCCGCCGCACGTGGCGGGGGGGGGCGCGGGCGGCTCGGCCAGGGCCGGGCCCCTACATAAGGCGTCGAGGCCGCTACTCGGGCGCACAGGTGCAGCGAGTCTGCCTGGTGTCAGCGGCAGGAGGGGCCGGGTCCTGCGGTGACCGCTTCTCCACGCACCATGCTGGGGCCTCGGCTGCTGCTGCTGCTGTCCTGCGGGGGAGCCCTGCTGGGCGCCGGTGAGTGGGGGCGCGGCCTCGCACGGGCACGGCCAGATGTCCCCGCGGCCCCGGGCCTGGGAGAGGCTCCCGGCCTCCCGCCTCTCCGACTTGGCCAGAAGTGGGCTGGCCACCAGGATGTGGATGTGAGGCCCCCTCGCTCGGGGCCGCCCTGCTCCGGCCAAGGCCTGGGTCACCCCAGCCAGTGAGGGTCAGAGGGTGCCGAGGCCGAGTACCAGGGAGGATGGACTCGGGCCTGGGGGGCGGGGGTCCCAGGGGGCCAGGCAGTGCCAGACCCCAGCTGGGTGGACAGGGCTCAGGCTCAGCCCTCAGCTGGCACCCCACCCCCATGGGTCTTGAGGTGGGCAGGTCCTCAGGGGCAGCCACAGTGATGCAGGGCCTGTGGGCACTGGGGCTGCAAAACCCAGGTGGAGGCCCAGCTCCGTGGGTCCTGGCTGTGAGCAATGACCACTCAGTGGGCTCTGGGACTGGGGTCCCCATCTGTGAAAGTGGGGGCAACATCTCCCCGTCACGGGGCTGCCCCAAGTCTACCCAGTCTCACCCACCCACCCCAGGGCAGGGTCCCCTTTCCCCTCCGTATACCTCATGCCCGTCCCTTCCGCCCACCTGGCACCGCTCAGGCCCCAGCCCTCCTCACCAACCAGCACCAGGCCCGTGGCTCCTCTGCCCGCGTGAGCCCAGGTGGCGGAGCCCAGGGACTCCTCTCCTCAGTCCTGGCCCGCAGGCCCCTCCCTGGTGGCCCCATGTCCCCACCAGCCTCTGGGAGCAGTGATGGGCCCAGTGCAGGGGGCGGCTGCAGACACCAGCACAGTAGGTCCCCTGGGCTGTCCCGCCCCCGCCCTCCCTCAAAGCCCCTCCCCTTCCAGGCACCGCCTTTCCCACAAGGGCTGCTCTGAGCCCTCAGGACCCCTGCCCAGCTGAGCCCTTCTTGGGCCCCTCCCCGGCCCTGGGGCTCAGACTTGGACCCCAGAACCTGGGGAGGAGGGAGGAGCCCTGGGTGAGGGGGGCGGGAGCCTGCGAGGGGTCCAGGCTGTGTGAGCAGCAGAGGGTGGGGCAGGTCTCTGAGCCTCAGCACCACCTTCTGCCGGCCTGGGAGGGACAGAGGCAGGTCCTGTCCCCCTGGACCAGGGAAAGGAGGTCTGAGCCGGGGCCTGGGGGCCAGTGCTGAGCGAGGGCAGGCAGGGCGGGGGCCGCCAAGCGTGCAGGACGGTGAGTGCTCTGCGCCGCATGGCCGGGCTGGCCGAGGCTGCCAGGCCAGCCGCCCTGCGGCTCCGTGGGTCCGGCCAGGGGTCAGTGCCTGCCCTGACCGCGGTGGGAAGCACTGCGGGCCTCCTGAGCGTCTTCAAAGGAGCCCCCGCGGCCAAGGTGGGGTGGGGTCATTGTCGAGACAGAGCCCGAGGCCCGGGGAGGGGGGACCGCGCAGTGATGGACAGGAGGCGTGGCAGGGCTGGAGGCCAGCACCAGGCGGCCGGGGACTGGGAGTGACCCTCTGGGGGCACAGACGTGAGCTGAGACGCAGACCCCCCTGATCAACACCGCGGGGGCAGGGCTGCCCAGGGTCACCCCCCCCCCCCACCTCTGTGCCTCCCACCCCAGCCGGGACCACACAGCCAGGGGCAGGCATCGCCGAGACGCACTGTAGACAAGGACCAGTGTGGCGATGGGGGGGGGGGGGGGGAGGCAGGAACCGCCGCGAGCTACTTCCAGCTCAGGACGGTGGAGCTGGGGCAGGGGCAGGGGAGGGCCGCAGGGAGGGGAGGCCCCGCGCAGCTGCCCTGAGCAGGGCCACCTTCCTGTCCCTGCGGTCACTGTGACCCATGTCACCAGGTGGGCTGAGTGGGAAACAGGGGTGCAGCGGAGAGAGGGGTCCCATCCCACAGAGCCTTTGGGCAGAGCTCCTCCCCACTCTCCCCTGCCCCTCTGAGCTCGGGCTCCCCCTCGCCTCCCCACCCCCCTCCAGTGAAGTCAGGGCAGAAGCCCAGGAGTCCGGCCACCCTGCCACCCAGACCCACGGAGCCTGCCCAGAGCCAGCGGGCCGACAGGCTTTGCGCTCACTCGGCCCTCCTGCCGGCCCGAGGGCCTGGCGCCTCCAGGGTGCCGTGATGGGAGCCTGGTGGGCAGAGCAGCAGATGCCCCGGGGCCAGAGGGGCCCAGAGGGGCTAGTGTCTGGTGTGGAGGACCCACCCGCCCTGAGGCCTGGCCCTCGGCCACAGGAACCTCTCCAGGGACCTCCCATCCTCCCAGCATGGCCAGCTGCCACCTCCAAGCCCCCAGGCCCTGCTCACTGCCTCACCCTCCCTGGGGCTCTTGGGAGCAGGGACCATGTGCCCCCGTGTCTCCTGCGCCCAGCAGGGGACAGGCCCACAGCAGGTGCTCGCTGCGTGCAGGGTGCCAAACTGGTGAGTGACCAAATGAATGAGCGAGTGGGTGGGAAACGAGGGTGCGGAGGGCCCAGTGGGCTGGGCTCAGGCCAGGGGCCAGCGCTGTGGTTCCCAGCCCTGGGCCCTGCTCACAGCCAGGCTCTGAGTACCCGGGGCCGGCTGTGCCCTGGAGCAGAGGTGGCCGGGCCCAGCACTGACATGGGCCCTGAACACGCAGGTCTAGACGACACCTCCTTTGCCCACCCAGGACCCCAGGGGCTGAAGGACTCCCCACAGCCAGGTGAGGACCAAGGCTCTGCCACAAGGTGGCCGTGGTCTGGGCTTTCCACGAGGGACATCCAACCACAGGGACCTGGGGAGACCAGCTTGTGCTGGGGGTCCCTGGGGGGCGGGGCTGCTGGCTGACACCCAGACCCCCCACGGCAGCAGCTGGCTCTCCCGTGAGGCTCAGTGGGCCTGGGACTTGGGAGGCCGCGAGCATGGGCTTCCCAGGGGCCTTGCCGGTCAGGGGACCCAGAACCCCGAGACCCACCAGCTCCCTCCACAGCGCCCGGCAGGGGCTGGTGCTCCACATGGGGGACCGGCCACTTCTTCACCTTCGACGGCCACATGTATGACTTCGAGGGGACCTGCAACTACATCTTTGCGGCCATCTGCAAGGACGCCTCCTCTCCCACCTTCAGCGTCCAGCTGCGGCGAGGGCCCGGCGGGGACATCTCCCGGGTCATCGTGGAGCTGGGGGCCTCGGTGGTCACGGTGCAGCAGGGAGCCATCTCCATCAAGGATGTGGGGTCGGTCAGGGACCAGGGCCATGGCCAGGGGGTGGGGAAAGGGTTCCGGGGACGAGGGAATGGCCAGGGCGAGGGCAGCCGCTGACTGCTCCTCCCTGCAGGGCCGTCAGCCCGCCCTACACCAGCAACGGGCTGCAGATCACCCCCTTCGGCCAGAGCGTGCGGCTGGTGGCCAAGCAGCTGGAGCTGGAGCTGGTGGTGGTGTGGGGCCCCGGCGCCCACCTCATGGTGAGGATGCAGTGGGGGCGGCACCCGAGGCCGGAGTTGGTGGGCAGAGCCGGGGGCTGCCCCCGGAGGGGGAGGTCCTGACCGGTCCCCCGGCTCCTCAGCTTGGCGGACTCCGGCCAGGAGCCCGGATGGGCCTGGGCTTTGCTGGAGGCTCAGTTTCCCCCTTTGAAGATAAGGACCATCCAGCAAGAAAAGAGGCCCCCGGGGAGGGAGGGCGGTCACAACCCATACGGTGAGGGTGCCCGGCTCCTGGAGCAGGCATCTGCGGTCTCTGCATCTGGGCGAGGGGTCCCTGGCCTAGGGAGCCCTGCCCTGCCCTGCTCACGCCGTGTGCCAACCACCCGCCCTCGCCCACAGGTCCTGGTGGAGGACAGGCACATGGGCAGGATGTGTGGGCTCTGCGGGAACTTTGACGGCGAGAAGACCAATGAGTTTCTGAGCGAGGATGGTAAGTGGGGGTGGGCGGGGACCCCTGCGCCCAGCCCGGGTGCTGACCCTGTGCCCCCTGCAGGCACGCGCCTGGAGCCCCACAAGTATGCCGCCCTCCAGAAGCTGGACGACCCCAACGAGATCTGCACCCACGAGGCCATCCCCGGCCCCCAGGTCCTGCAGGCAGAGCATGTATGTGAGGGCGGGGCCGCACAGCCTTCCAAGTGGAAGCACTGGGTGTGGGGCGTGGCCTTCTCCCCGTGACCGAATGGCCCTCTGCCCAGGCCCGGACCTGCGCCCAGCTGCTGGCCCTGGTGGCCCCCGAGTGCAATGTGCCCAAGGAGCCCTTCGTGCAGAGCTGCCAAGCCGACGTGGCCGCGTGTGCCCGGCCGGGCCAGCAGAGCTGCGCCTGCGCCACGCTCTCCGAGTACTCGCGCCACTGCAGCCTCGCCGGCCAGCCCGTCAGCCGCTGGAGGAGGCCCGGCCTCTGCTGTGAGTCCTAGGAGGCTGCAGGGAGGGCCAGGGCCTCTATGGCACCTCACTCCCGGGACAGGAGGCCTGAGGGGGAGCGGCGCGGGGGGGGAGCAGGGCCCCAGGGTTCCCTTGCCCGCTCACCAGGGCCCCGTGTACATACAGCCCTGGGCCAGTGCCCGGCCAACCAGGTGTACCAGGAGTGCGGCGAGGCCTGCGTCAAGACCTGCTCCAACCCACAGCACAGCTGTGCCCGCTTCTGCACCTTCGGCTGCTTCTGCCCGGAAGGTGGCGTACCTCTCCCCACAGGACCCTCCAGATGAGCCCCCACCCACCCAGCATGCGCCCCACTTGGTTCACTGGAACCAGGACCCCCTGCCCCCCTTAAGTGCTCAAGGCCACATGGGCTGATCCACAGGACAGGGAGGGGGTATGCACATGGGGGGTGGGTCCAGGAGGCTACTGGGAGGAGGTGGGCCGAGCCAGGCCAGAGACAGGCCTGCGCTCCCCCAGGGCAGCCCTGGGCCTGGGCCTGTCGGCACGAGGGGGCAGAACGCTGAGCATGCAGACCAGATGGGACTGCGGGTGTGAAGGGGGACAAGCTCCTGGGGCACAGGCCGGGAGGCCCAAGGAGGGGTGGGGTCTCCCCCACGCAGCCCCAGGAAGCCCCTGCCTGCAGGTATGGTTCTCGACGACGTTTCCAAAAACCTCACCTGCGTGCCCATCGCCCAGTGCCCCTGCACGCTCGGCGGCGTGGCCTACGCCCCTGGGGAGGTCACAGCCGACGCCTGCCGCACCTGGTAAGGACAGGAGGGGAGGTGGGGACATGGGGGCATGGGGGTCAGGGGCAGCCTCAGCCCGAAGCAGCCAGCTCTACTGGGCCAGAACACCCGGGGGCGCCCCCACCACTCTGGTGCCCTCCCCCCACCCCCAGCCAGTGCACAATGGGGCGCTGGAAGTGCGAGGAGCGGCCCTGCCCCCGGCGCTGCGCCCTGGAAGGCGGCTCCTTTGTGACCACGTTTGACGCCAGGCCCTACCGCTTCCATGGCACCTGCACCTACACCCTCCTCCAGGTGGGAAGCCCGCTAGGGACCCCCAGGGAACTGATCAGAGGGGTCACCACGGGGTGGGGGTCTCACAAGGGTCCCGCCAGGGGGGTCCCCACCAGCCCCCAGCCCTCTGTGCTTACTGTCCTCCCCAGAGCCCCCAGCTCCCCGACGGGGGCTCCCTCATGGCCGCCTACGACAAGTCTGGGTACTCGCATTCAGAGACCTCCCTGGTCGCCCTCATCTACGTGTCCAGCCAGGTAAGGCCGCCCCGACTGCCGCCACTGCGCCTACCCAGCCTGAGCACACGGTCCTGCCACCGCCCAGCCTCACCCTCCGCACCCAGTGACTCAGGGCCCGCCCTCCAGGACAAGATCGTGATTTCCCAGGATGAGGTGGTCACCAACCACGGAGACACCAAGTGGCTGCCATACAAGACCGGTAGGTCGCAGCCCCTGCCTGGGCCACAGGGGCCGGGCCCAGAGTGGCCGCCCGCTGAGCCTCCGTCCCACAGGCAACATCACGGTCTTCAAGCAGACGTCCACCCACCTGCAGATGGCCACCACCTTCGGGCTCGAGCTGGTGGTGCAGCTGCAGCCCGTGCTCCAGGCCTACGTCACAGTCGGGCCTCAGTTCAGAGGCCAGACCCGAGGTGAGTGCCCGCTGGGCCGGGCCTGGCCTCCTGGGAAACGAAGGGGCCCCACAGAGACTCACGGGACCCAGCAGGTCCCGCCCCTGGGCCTTGGCCAGCCCCCAGGGGTGCAGCTGGTGCTGGCCTCCTGCCTGGGGCCCGGTGAGGGGACGTGGGGCAGGACTGGGACGCGGGACGCCCACCCTCATGGCCTGGCCGCTCAGGGCTTTGCGGCAACTTCAACGGGGACACGACGGACGACTTCACGACCAGCATGGGTGTCCCTGAGGGCACGGCCTCGCTCTTCGTGGACTCCTGGCGGGCAGGGAACTGCCCGGCCGCCCTGGAGCGGGAGACCGACCCCTGCTCCATGAGCCAGCTCAACAGTGAGTGCCAGCCGGAGGGCTGGGGCGGGCGGGAAACCCACGCTGGGGGTGCGGGAACCCACGGGGCCTGTCCCCGCAGAGGTGTGCGCGGAGACTCACTGTGCGGTGCTGGTGAACAAGGGCACGGTCTTCGAGAGGTGCCACGCCGTGGTGAACCCCAAGCCCTTCTACAGGGTAGGCGGGGCTCGCACGTGGCCAGGAGGGCTGCGGGGTCGGGCACCTTGGGGACAGGGTGTGGATGGCGGGCGCCAATGCTGCTGTCTGCCCACAGAGGTGCGTGTACCAGGCCTGCAACTACGAGGAGACCTTCCCGCACATCTGTGCCGCCCTGGGGGACTACGCCCACACCTGCGCCTCCAGGGGCATCCTGCTCTGGGGCTGGAGAAGCAGTGTGGACAACTGCAGTGCGTGCTGCCGGGCGTGCGGGCGGCGGGAGCCCGGGGTCATGCGGAGGGTGGGGCTGTGACCGCTCGGGCCAAGCTCTGCCCAGCCATCCTGACGCCAGACTCCCCGCAGCCATCCCCTGCACGGGCAACCAGACGTACAGCTATGACAGCCGGGCCTGCGGCCGCACCTGCTTCTCACTGTCCGACCGCGCCGCCGAGTGCCACCCCAGTGCCGTGCCCGTGGAAGGCTGCAACTGCCCCGAGGGCACCTACCTGAACCACAAGGCCGAGTGCGTGCGCAAGGCCCATTGCCCCTGCCTCTTGGACAACCACAAGCTCATCCTGGCCGGCCAGTCCACTGTGGTTGAGGGCGTCATCTGGTGCGTGAGGGTCCTGGGTGGCAGCCCCGCCCCCTGCAGCCCCGCCCCAGGCCGCCCCCTCACACGGCCTCTCTTGCAGCTACTGTTCCAACGGGCGGCTGAGCTGCCCTGGGCGGCCGTCGATGCTCCTGGGTACGTAGTGCAGCGGGGCGGCGCCCTGGCCTGCGAGGGGCCCTGGCCTCCGCTGAGTCCGCCTCACCAGCCCCCTTCCCTGCAGCATCCTGCTCGGCCCCCAAGACATTCCAGTCCTGCAGCCAGTCCTCAAGGAACAAGTTTGGGGCGGCCTGTGCCCCCACGTGCCAGATGCTGGCCACGGGCACCCCTTGCGTAAGGCTGGGGCGGGCGAGGGCAGGGCTCCCCCATCCTGTCTGGGCCGCGGGAGGAAGCCCAGACTCCTCAGGAGAGGCTCTGCCCCCACCCTGTCCTCCAGGAGAGGCGTGCCCAGTGGGGCTGGGAGGCCCAGCAGCTGGAGGGCGGTGTGCTCAGTCTGGGGGGTTCCCTGAGGAAGGTGGGCTGGGGCCCCAACTTGGGGAGGAATAGGAGGGGGTACAACAGCCCAGCCTGAGGCACGGAGGCACCGGCCCCTTTCCTGAGGGAGGGAGGCTGCCGAGAGAAAGGCCCTGAGCAGGCTGGTGCAGGAGGGGGTCTGGGAGGAATGCAGGGGCAGAGGGCCCACCGGGGCCACCCTCCCAGGGGCTGCTGACCTCCGCCCTGCAGGTGCCCACCAAGTGCGAGCCCGGCTGCGTCTGTGCCGAGGGGCTCTACGAGAACGCCAGCGGGCAGTGCGTGCCCCCCGAGGAGTGCCCGTGCGAGTTTGCGGGGGTCTCCTACCCCCGGGGCGCCGAGCTCCACACTGACTGTAAGGCCTGGTAAGCCAGTCCCACCCTGGCACAGGGCTGTCCGCAGGGTCCTGGGGGCTGGGAGGTCAGATCCTACAGGGTGGGTGCGGCCCGGGTCTCTCAGAACCAGAGCTCCCTGCTCCCGGCAGCACCTGCTCGAGGGGGAAGTGGACGTGCCAGCAGAGCGCCCACTGCTCGTCCACCTGCACCCTCTATGGAGAGGGCCACGTGGTCACCTTCGACGGGCAGCGCTTTGTGTTTGAGGGCAGCTGCGAGTACATCCTGGCCACGGTGAGACCCTGGGGGAAGGGCCACAGGGGGCCACGAGGAGGCCCTGGGAGGACTCGGGGGCTCCTGGTGGGCTCCTCCTCAGCGCCCCCTTCCCACAGGATGGCTGCGGCACCAATGACTCCCGGCCCACCTTCAAGATCCTCACGGAGAACGTCGTGTGTGGGAAATCGGGTGTCACCTGCTCCCGGGCCATCAGGATGTTCCTGGGGGTGAGTGGGCTGGTGGGTGTCCCCACAAGGCAGCCACCAAGCTCCAGGTCCTGGCCTCTCTTCCCCTCTGCTTCCTCATCCACACAACGGGCAGCAGTGTCTCCTAGAGCTGGACGTAGGGTGGGGAGTCTCCCAGAAGCCTGACTCAGTCCTCAGCTCAGTGTCCATGACGTTCTGGAACCTCCCGCCAATGGCAGGCTCGAGAGGACAGGCCCCAGCCCAGAGCTGGCCCTCAGTAGGCGCTGGCCGGCGCGTGTCTTTAACGGGCCCCTGCGGGAGAGCACGGGCGGGAGCAGAGCTGGGGGCACTCAGCAGCCGCCCAGGTGGGGCTGGCAGCCTGGTGACAGCCCTGCCCCACAGGGCTTGTCCATCGTACTGGCGGACAGGAACTACACGGTCAGCGGGACAGACCCCCAGGTGCACTTCCGGGTCAGGGCTGGCTCCCTGCACCTGGTGTTGGACGTCACCATCGGCAGCAGTTACAACCTGACCCTCATCTGGAACAAGCACATGACCGTCTCCATCAAGATCTCGCGAGCCTCACAGGTACCACGCACCACCGCCCAGGTCGCCGGGGTGGGGCAGCGCCCGCCACCCGCACATCTGCCCGCCTGACACCAGCCCCCGCAGGACGCCCTGTGCGGCTTGTGCGGCAACTACAACGGGAACATGAAGGACGACTTTGAGACACGCAGCAAGTACGTGGCGTCCAGCGAGCTGGAGTTTGTGAATTCATGGAAGGAGAGCCCGCTGTGCGGAGACGCCAGACTCGCACTGGACCCCTGCAGCCTCAACGCCTTCCGCCGCGCCTGGGCCGAGCGCAAGTGCAGCATCATCAATAGCCAGACCTTCGCCGCCTGCCACAGCCAGGTGGGCTGCGCCGCGGGGGTCGGGCCTGAGCAGGTGGGTGGACAGCAGACACTGAGGGCCACTCCCACAGGTGTACCGCCTGCCCTACTATGAGGCCTGCGTGCGCGACACATGTGGGTGCGACACGGGTGGGGACTGTGAGTGCCTGTGCGACGCTGTGGCCGCCTACGCCAAGGCCTGCCTGGACAAGGGCGTGTGCGTGGACTGGAGGGCCCCCGACTTCTGCCGTGAGTACCCTGTCCCCGACTGGGGGCGGCCATGGCGGGAGCACCTCTCCCGGGTGGGCAGCAGGCTGTGCCCTGCAGAGGGACCTGCAGAAGGACCCCGAGCCTCCCAGGCCCTGACAGGCACCCGTCCTCCCAGCCATCTACTGCGACTTCTACAACTCCCACACGCGGGCGGGCGACGGCCAGTACCAGCACACCCCGGAGACCAACTGCACGTGGCACTACCAGCCGTGCCTCTGCCCCCAGCAGCTGCAGAGCCTTCCAGACACCAACATCGAAGGTGCGGGCGAGGAGAGAGCGAGGCTGGGCCAGACGACTGATGGCCTCCCGGCCAGTGATCAGGACAGGATGGTGGACGAGGGCCCAGCCTGGAGCCAGGGGACGGTGACAGGCACAGGGCAGGGTGGCTGGGGTTGGGGACAAGGGGGGACCTGCCTCTGCAGTTCAGTGAGAGGCCAGGAGTGGCTGGGGACAGAGAGGGCAGGAACCAAGCCTTGAAGAGGGGCTCCGGCTCCGGCACTGAGGCCCTGCCTCTCGGCCCTGCCCCCTAGGCTGCTACAACTGCTCCCAGGACGAGTACTTCGACCAGGACACGGGGACGTGCGTGCAGTGCAGTAAGCTCAGGCCACAGCCCCCATGCCCTCCCAGCCCCCACGGCGGAGCCCTGCACACACCTCTGGCTGGCTCTCCAGCACCCGACTCCCTAGCTGTGCCCCTGAGGTGCTGGGACGCCCATGCCCCAGACAGCAAACACAAAGGGAAAACAATCAGGCTTCCCCTCCCCAAATGCTGACACACCCAAACCCAGCCCCCAGCTGCAGGGCAACCCAGGCCCGGGCTCTGCCAGCTTGCTGGGTATGTGGGTGACAGCTGGCCTGAGCTACCACAGGTGGGCGCTGGACAGCATCCCGGCTGCCAGGCATCACCAGGGTTGGGCAGTGGTGCTGGGAGAAGAGGAGACCCGGGGGAGAGGGGGGGAGAGGACTGAGAAGCAGGGACCCACCTGGGGACCCCCGGGAGGGCAGGACTGGGAGGGGCGGCACGGGGCGACAGCACTGACCACACTTCCTCTTGCAGTGCTGCTGCCCACCACGCCGCCGCCGCCCACCACAGGTGATTGCGCACACACTAGGTGCCAAGGTGAAGCAGCGCTCTCCCCGGGCTCATCCCTGGGTAGCCGTCAGCCCAGCCTGTGCCCATCCCAGCAGCTGCTGGCTGGCATGTGGGCAAGGCTGGGGTGCACCTGGGTTGTCCTGGGCTGCCCCACAAGGCAGGAGCAAGCGGTGCTGACCAGGACAGCAGAGGGGAGGGGCATGGAAAGCTTATTCTGGCTGACCAACCCCGCCGTGCTGGACGGCCACTGTCACAGCAAGGCCAAAGGGGCTGGGATGCTGCCCTCAGCGGGGCACCGGCCTTTGCACCCTGTGCCTCCTCTCCAGCCCATCTGGGGGTGGGGGGCTACATGGCTCAGCAGGCAAGAGAGGGGGCTCCTCCCAGGGTTATGCCTGTACTCACAGCCCTTCTGCCTCACTCAGGCTCGCCCTCCACAGAAGCCAGGCCTACCTTGGCCACCCCCAACATCACAGCCACCCCCAGAACCACTGGGCCCCTCAGTTCCACGGCACCCTCACCAAGCCCCCACGCTACACCTGCAACCCCCACGGCCTCGGCCCCCGCCTCCACACAGACAGGGACAGCCCCGACCCCGCGGCCAGAACCCACAGTCTCCTCAGGAGGTGAGGACGCCCTGCGGTGCAGAACACGTGACGATCAGACATGCTCCCCAGGGTGCGGGCAGATGCTCAGCAGAGCGGGTGGGGTTGAAGGACCAGCTGCCGTGGGACGTGGCAGTTCCTAGCTGCCTGGCACTGTCACTGAAGCATGTGGGACCTGCGGACGCAGGGAGCCCACACAGCAGCCCCTGCCGCTGCCCAGGGACCAGGGGGACATGGCATGGGTCCTGCTAGCAAGGGCAAGTGAAGGGCCAGCCAGCGCCCAGTGAGCCCATGGCCACCGGACAAGCAGCTGAGGAAGGATATGCGTGTTGGCGAGGGGAAGGCGCACGCCCTTCTCGAAGGGGCTCAGCGTGCCCGCGGGCCAGGCTCCTGTGGCACAGGTGGGGCAGGAAAAGGGGAGGGCAGATGGTCCTGTTCCCTGCAGAGTCGCCTCGAACGACCTCCGCCATCACCATACGAGCCACGTCAGGACCAGCCCCCACAGCCACCCCCAGGTCAACAGCCACAGGGCCTACTGTGACTCAGGCCACCACACAGCCCACCGCACCCCTGCTCAGCACAGCCACGCAATCCACAGCTCGGTCCACAGTGCGCACCACAGAGGCATGGCCAACACCAACCAAACCAGAAACCACCACGGGGTCCCCCCAAGGTAAGGCTACCCCATGAGGTCCCCACAGAGGGGAGATAGCACAGGTGCTCCAACGCCCAGCCCAGACTGTGGAACTGCGTATGAGAACAGGCTACAGATTCCCAGGAGGGGACGCCTCCAACTCAAAAGGTGGGCAGCCAGCCCAGCAACCAGCCTGAGCCTACAGCTAACCACGTGCTCTCTGCACCTCTCCCCGCACAGCATCTACAGGCCCACCCGCCACGGCTGCCCCCACACCAGGTGAGCACAGGGGTCCCAAAGGCACTGGATCTAGAGGGCAGTGACCAGGTTTGAAATCAGGGCCACAATCCAAAACTGCAGAAAGATCCCAGAGGAAGGAGCCCGAGAGTACCTGAACCCATCATAGTACCCTCTGCGAGGGGAAAGAGGGACCAAACACACCTGCAGGAGAGAAACACAAATGCAGAAACCAAAATCAGCAGAGTCAGTAAACGCAAGGGGGACACACCAGGTGCATAGGAAGCCAGCGTGGGGAACAGCATCAGCAGGTGGGAGGCCACCTACCGGGCAAGGATGACATGATAACAAACTGACCCATCACACTTTCCACAGGGCACTCAACCCACCACCGAACGGAAGGAACAACCACAAGCTCACCAGGGAGCAGCACAGGCCAGGGCACAGCACACACGAGCCCAGGGACCAGGTCAACCACGGCCACACCCAACCCACCACACACTGCCTTCACTTCTCACTCCGCCCCAACAGGTTCCCTGTCCACCACTTCCCACATTACAGGTCCGCCCACAGGAACATCATTCCGGACCACCACCACCTTCCCAACCGCATCTCCATCCAAGACCACTCAATCCACTCACGTTCCAAACTCTGCCACCTCCTCTGTCACTCCCACTTCTCACAGAGTGATCACCACAACACAACCCGAGACCCACTCTCCTTCCATCTCTACTGCAAGGCCAACAGGCTCCTCTCCATCATCGACACACGTCCCTGCCACAGGCACAGTGCCCTCACCCTCCACAGTGCCGTGGACACCTACCACAAGAGGAACCACCCAAGCCCCTCACTCTGTCAGCACAGCCAAAACCTCCACCTCCCTGGTGTCACACCCCTCCGCACCTGCCCACTCTGGCACCACATCTTCTCCACGCACCACCATCTCCACCAAGACCACCAGTAGAGGCACCGGCAGCCCGGGGACACACACTGCCACGGCCTCGGCTACTCCCAACGGGCCACACACTCCCTTCACTACTCACTCCCCCCACACAGGTTCCCTGTCCAGCACCTCCCACATTACAGGTCCGCCCACAGGAACATCATTCCGGACCACCACCACCTTCCCAACCGCATCTCCATCCAAGACCACTCAATCCACTCACGTTCCAAACTCTGCCACCTCCTCTGTCACGCCCACTTCTCACAGAGTGATCACCACAACACAACCCGAGACCCACTCTCCTTCCATCTCTACTGCAAGGCCAACAGGCTCTTCTCCATCATCGACACACGTCCCTGCCACAGGCACACTGCCCTCACCCTCCACAGTGCCGTGGACACCTACCACAAGAGGAACCACCCAAGCCCCTCACTCTGTCAGCACAGCCAAAACCTCCACCTCCCTGGTGTCACACCCCTCCGCACCTGCCCACTCTGGCACCACATCTGCTCCACGCACCACCATCTCCACCAAGACCACCAGTAGAGGCACCGGGAGTCCGGGGACACACACCGCCACGGCCACACCCAACAGTCCACACACTCCCTTCACTTCTCACTCTCCACACACTGGTTCCGTGTCCACCACCTCCCACATTACAGGTCCGCCCACAGGAACATCATTCCGGACCACCACCACCTTCCCAACCGCATCTCCATCCAAGACCACTCAATCCACTCACGTTCCAAACTCTGCCACCTCCTCTGTCACGCCCACTTCTCACAGAGTGATCACCACAACACAACCCGAGACCCACTCTCCTTCCATCTCTACTGCAAGGCCAACAGGCTCCTCTCCATCATCGACACACGTCCCTGCCACAGGCACAGTGCCCTCACCCTCCACAGTGCCGTGGACACCTACCACAAGAGGAACCACCCAAGCCCCTCACTCTGTCAGCACAGCCAAAACCTCCACCTCCCTGGTGTCACACCCCTCCGCACCTGCCCACTCTGGCACCACATCTGCTCCACGCACCACCATCTCCACCAAGACCACCAGTAGAGGCACCGGGAGTCCGGGGACACACACCGCCACGGCCACACCCAACGGTCCACACACTCCCTTCACTTCTCACTCTCCACACACTGGTTCCGTGTCCACCACCTCCCACATTACAGGTCCGCCCACAGGAACATCATTCCGGACCACCACCACCTTCCCAACCGCATCTCCATCCAAGACCACTCAATCCACTCACGTTCCAAACTCTGCCACCTCCTCTGTCACTCCCACTTCTCACAGAGTGATCACCACAACACAACCCGAGACCCACTCTCCTTCCATCTCTACTGCAAGGCCAACAGGCTCCTCTCCATCATCGACACACGTCCCTGCCACAGGCACAGTGCCCTCACCCTCCACAGTGCCGTGGACACCTACCACAACAGGAACCACCCAAGCCCCTCACTCTGTCAGCACAGCCAAAACCTCCACCTCCCTGGTGTCACACCCCTCCGCACCTGCCCACTCTGGCACCACATCTGCTCCACGCACCACCATCTCCACCAAGACCACCAGTAGAGGCACCGGCAGCCCGGGGACACACACTGCCACGGCCTCGGCTACTCCCGACGGGCCACACACTCCCTTCACTACTCACTCCCCCCACACAGGTTCCCTGTCCAGCACCTCCCACATTACAGGTCCGCCCACAGGAACATCATTCCGGACCACCACCACCTTCCCAACCGCATCTCCATCCAAGACCACTCAATCCACTCACGTTCCAAACTCTGCCACCTCCTCTGTCACTCCCACTTCTCACAGAGTGATCACCACAACACAACACGAGACCCACTCTCCTTCCATCTCTACTGCAAGGCCAACAGGCTCTTCTCCATCATCGACACACGTCCCTGCCACAGGCACACTGCCCTCACCCTCCACAGTGCCGTGGACACCTACCACAAGAGGAACCACCCAAGCCCCTCACTCTGTCAGCACAGCCAAAACCTCCACCTCCCTGGTGTCACACCCCTCCGCACCTGCCCACTCTGGCACCACATCTGCTCCACGCACCACCATCTCCACCAAGACCACCAGTAGAGGCACCGGGAGTCCGGGGACACACACCGCCACGGCCACACCCAACGGTCCACACACTCCCTTCACTTCTCACTCTCCACACACTGGTTCCGTGTCCACCACCTCCCACATTACAGGTCCGCCCACAGGAACATCATTCCGGACCACCACCACCTTCCCAACCGCATCTCCATCCAAGACCACTCAATCCACTCACGTTCCAAACTCTGCCACCTCCTCTGTCACTCCCACTTCTCACAGAGTGATCACCACAACACAACCCGAGACCCACTCTCCTTCCATCTCTACTGCAAGGCCAACAGGCTCTTCTCCATCATCGACACACGTCCCTGCCACAGGCACAGTGCCCTCACCCTCCACAGTGCCGTGGACACCTACCACAAGAGGAACCACCCAAGCCCCTCACTCTGTCAGCACAGCCAAAACCTCCACCTCCCTGGTGTCACACCCCTCCGCACCTGCCCACTCTGGCACCACATCTGCTCCACGCACCACCATCTCCACCAAGACCACCAGTAGAGGCACCGGGAGTCCGGGGACACACACCGCCACGGCCACACCCAACGGTCCACACACTCCCTTCACTTCTCACTCTCCACACACTGGTTCCGTGTCCACCACCTCCCACATTACAGGTCCGCCCACAGGAACATCATTCCGGACCACCACCACCTTCCCAACCGCATCTCCATCCAAGACCACTCAATCCACTCACGTTCCAAACTCTGCCACCTCCTCTGTCACTCCCACTTCTCACAGAGTGATCACCACAACACAACCCGAGACCCACTCTCCTTCCATCTCTACTGCAAGGCCAACAGGCTCCTCTCCATCATCGACACACGTCCCTGCCACAGGCACAGTGCCCTCCCCCTCCACAGTGCCGTGGACACCTACCACAAGAGGAACCACCCAAGCCCCTCACTCTGTCAGCACAGCCAAAACCTCCACCTCCCTGGTGTCACACCCCTCCGCACCTGCCCACTCTGGCACCACATCTGCTCCACGCACCACCATCTCCACCAAGACCACCAGTAGAGGCACCGGCAGCCCGGGGACACACACTGCCACGGCCTCGGCTACTCCCAACGGGCCACACACTCCCTTCACTACTCACTCCCCCCACACAGGTTCCCTGTCCAGCACCTCCCACATTACAGGTCCACCGACAGGAACATCATTCCGGACCACCACCACCTTCCCAACCGCATCTCCATCCAAGACCACTCAATCCACTCACGTTCCAAACTCTGCCACCTCCTCTGTCACTCCCACTTCTCACAGAGTGATCACCACAACACAACCCGAGACCCACTCTCCTTCCATCTCTACTGCAAGGCCAACAGGCTCTTCTCCATCATCGACACATGTCCCTGCCACAGGCACAGTGCCCTCACCCTCCACAGTGCCGTGGACACCTACCACAAGAGGAACCACCCAAGCCCCTCACTCTGTCAGCACAGCCAAAACCTCCACCTCCCTGGTGTCACACCCCTCCGCACCTGCCCACTCTGGCACCACATCTGCTCCACGCACCACCATCTCCACCAAGACCACCAGTAGAGGCACCGGGAGTCCGGGGACACACACTGCCACGGCCACACCCAACGGTCCACACACTCCCTTCACTTCTCACTCTCCACACACTGGTTCCGTGTCCACCACCTCCCACATTACAGGTCCGCCCACAGGAACATCATTCCGGACCACCACCACCTTCCCAACCGCATCTCCATCCAAGACCACTCAATCCACTCACGTTCCAAACTCTGCCACCTCCTCTGTCACGCCCACTTCTCACAGAGTGATCACCACAACACAACCCGAGACCCACTCTCCTTCCATCTCTACTGCAAGGCCAACAGGCTCTTCTCCATCATCGACACACGTCCCTGCCACAGGCACAGTGCCCTCACTCTCCACAGTGCCGTGGACACCTACCACAAGAGGAACCACCCAAGCCCCTCACTCTGTCAGCACAGCCAAAACCTCCACCTCCCTGGTGTCACACCCCTCCGCACCTGCCCACTCTGGCACCACATCTGCTCCACGCACCACCATCTCCACCAAGACCACCAGTAGAGGCACCGGGAGTCCGGGGACACACACCGCCACGGCCACACCCAACGGTCCACACACTCCCTTCACTTCTCACTCTCCACACACTGGTTCCGTGTCCACCACCTCCCACATTACAGGTCCGCCCACAGGAACATCATTCCGGACCACCACCACCTTCCCAACCGCATCTCCATCCAAGACCACTCAATCCACTCACGTTCCAAACTCTGCCACCTCCTCTGTCACGCCCACTTCTCACAGAGTGATCACCACAACACAACCCGAGACCCACTCTCCTTCCATCTCTACTGCAAGGCCAACAGGCTCCTCTCCATCATCGACACACGTCCCTGCCACAGGCACAGTGCCCTCACCCTCCACAGTGCCGTGGACACCTACCACAAGAGGAACCACCCAAGCCCCTCACTCTGTCAGCACAGCCAAAACCTCCACCTCCCTGGTGTCACACCCCTCCGCACCTGCCCACTCTGGCACCACATCTGCTCCACGCACCACCATCTCCACCAAGACCACCAGTAGAGGCACCGGCAGCCCGGGGACACACACTGCCACGGCCTCGGCTACTCCCAACGGGCCACACACTCCCTTCACTACTCACTCCCCCCACACAGGTTCCCTGTCCAGCACCTCCCACATTACAGGTCCACCGACAGGAACATCATTCCGGACCACCACCACCTTCCCAACCGCATCTCCATCCAAGACCACTCAATCCACTCACGTTCCAAACTCTGCCACCTCCTCTGTCACTCCCACTTCTCACAGAGTGATCACCACAACACAACCCGAGACCCACTCTCCTTCCATCTCTACTGCAAGGCCAACAGGCTCTTCTCCATCATCGACACACGTCCCTGCCACAGGCACAGTGCCCTCACCCTCCACAGTGCCGTGGACACCTACCACAAGAGGAACCACCCAAGCCCCTCACTCTGTCAGCACAGCCAAAACCTCCACCTCCCTGGTGTCACACCCCTCCGCACCTGCCCACTCTGGCACCACATCTGCTCCACGCACCACCATCTCCACCAAGACCACCAGTAGAGGCACCGGGAGTCCGGGGACACACACCGCCACGGCCACACCCAACGGTCCACACACTCCCTTCACTTCTCACTCTCCACACACTGGTTCCGTGTCCACCACCTCCCACATTACAGGTCCGCCCACAGGAACATCATTCCGGACCACCACCACCTTCCCAACCGCATCTCCATCCAAGACCACTCAATCCACTCACGTTCCAAACTCTGCCACCTCCTCTGTCACTCCCACTTCTCACAGAGTGATCACCACAACACAATCCGAGACCCACTCTCCTTCCATCTCTACTGCAAGGCCAACAGGCTCCTCTCCATCATCGACACACGTCCCTGCCACAGGCACAGTGCCCTCACCCTCCACAGTGCCGTGGACACCTACCACAAGAGGAACCACCCAAGCCCCTCACTCTGTCAGCACAGCCAAAACCTCCACCTCCCTGGTGTCACACCCCTCCGCACCTGCCCACTCTGGCACCACATCTGCTCCACGCACCACCATCTCCACCAAGACCACCAGTAGAGGCACCGGGAGTCCGGGGACACACACCGCCACGGCCACACCCAACGGTCCACACACTCCCTTCACTTCTCACTCTCCACACACTGGTTCCGTGTCCACCACCTCCCACATTACAGGTCCGCCCACAGGAACATCATTCCGGACCACCACCACCTTCCCAACCGCATCTCCATCCAAGACCACTCAATCCACTCACGTTCCAAACTCTGCCACCTCCTCTGTCACTCCCACTTCTCACAGAGTGATCACCACAACACAACCCGAGACCCACTCTCCTTCCATCTCTACTGCAAGGCCAACAGGCTCTTCTCCATCATCGACACACGTCCCTGCCACAGGCACAGTGCCCTCACCCTCCACAGTGCCGTGGACACCTACCACAAGAGGAACCACCCAAGCCCCTCACTCTGTCAGCACAGCCAAAACCTCCACCTCCCTGGTGTCACACCCCTCCGCACCTGCCCACTCTGGCACCACATCTGCTCCACGCACCACCATCTCCACCAAGATCACCAGTAGAGGCACCGGGAGTCCGGGGACACACACCGCCACGGCCACACCCAACGGTCCACACACTCCCTTCACTTCTCACTCTCCACACACTGGTTCCGTGTCCACCACCTCCCACATTACAGGTCCGCCCACAGGAACATCATTCCGGACCACCACCACCTTCCCAACCGCATCTCCATCCAAGACCACTCAATCCACTCACGTTCCAAACTCTGCCACCTCCTCTGTCACTCCCACTTCTCACAGAGTGATCACCACAACACAACCCGAGACCCACTCTCCTTCCATCTCTACTGCAAGGCCAACAGGCTCCTCTCCATCATCGACACACGTCCCTGCCACAGGCACACTGCCCTCACCCTCCACAGTGCCGTGGACACCTACCACAAGAGGAACCACCCAAGCCCCTCACTCTGTCAGCACAGCCAAAACCTCCACCTCCCTGGTGTCACACCCCTCCGCACCTGCCCACTCTGGCACCACATCTGCTCCACGCACCACCATCTCCACCAAGACCACCAGTAGAGGCACCGGCAGCCCGGGGACACACACTGCCACGGCCTCGGCTACTCCAACAGGCCACACACTCCCTTCACTACTCACTCCCCCCACACAGGTTCCCTGTCCAGCACCTCCCACATTACAGGTCCACCGACAGGAACATCATTCCGGACCACCACCACCTTCCCAACCGCATCTCCATCCAAGACCACTCAATCCACTCACGTTCCAAACTCTGCCACCTCCTCTGTCACTCCCACTTCTCACAGAGTGATCACCACAACACAACCCGAGACCCACTCTCCTTCCATCTCTACTGCAAGGCCAACAGGCTCTTCTCCATCATCGACACATGTCCCTGCCACAGGCACAGTGCCCTCACCCTCCACAGTGCCGTGGACACCTACCACAAGAGGAACCACCCAAGCCCCTCACTCTGTCAGCACAGCCAAAACCTCCACCTCCCTGGTGTCACACCCCTCCGCACCTGCCCACTCTGGCACCACATCTGCTCCACGCACCACCATCTCCACCAAGACCACCAGTAGAGGCACCGGGAGTCCGGGAACACACACTGCCACGGCCACACCCAACGGTCCACACACTCCCTTCACTTCTCACTCTCCACACACTGGTTCCGTGTCCACCACCTCCCACATTACAGGTCCGCCCACAGGAACATCATTCCGGACCACCACCACCTTCCCAACCGCATCTCCATCCAAGACCACTCAATCCACTCACGTTCCAAACTCTGCCACCTCCTCTGTCACGCCCACTTCTCACAGAGTGATCACCACAACACAACCCGAGACCCACTCTCCTTCCATCTCTACTGCAAGGCCAACAGGCTCTTCTCCATCATCGACACACGTCCCTGCCACAGGCACAGTGCCCTCACTCTCCACAGTGCCGTGGACACCTACCACAAGAGGAACCACCCAAGCCCCTCACTCTGTCAGCACAGCCAAAACCTCCACCTCCCTGGTGTCACACCCCTCCGCACCTGCCCACTCTGGCACCACATCTGCTCCACGCACCACCATCTCCACCAAGACCACCAGTAGAGGCACCGGGAGTCCCGGGGACACACACCGCCACGGCCACACCCAACGGTCCACACACTCCCTTCACTTCTCACTCTCCACACACTGGTTCCGTGTCCACCACCTCCCACATTACAGGTCCGCCCACAGGAACATCATTCCGGACCACCACCACCTTCCCAACCGCATCTCCATCCAAGACCACTCAATCCACTCACGTTCCAAACTCTGCCACCTCCTCTGTCACTCCCACTTCTCACAGAGTGATCACCACAACACAACCCGAGACCCACTCTCCTTCCATCTCTACTGCAAGGCCAACAGGCTCCTCTCCATCATCGACACACGTCCCTGCCACAGGCACACTGCCCTCACCCTCCACAGTGCCGTGGACACCTACCACAAGAGGAACCACCCAAGCCCCTCACTCTGTCAGCACAGCCAAAACCTCCACCTCCCTGGTGTCACACCCCTCCGCACCTGCCCACTCTGGCACCACATCTGCTCCACGCACCACCATCTCCACCAAGACCACCAGTAGAGGCACCGGGAGTCCGGGGACACACACAGCCACGGCCTCGGCTACACCCAACGGTCCACACACTCCCTTCACTTCTCACTCTCCACACACTGGTTCCCTGTCCAGCACCTCCCACATTACAGGTCCACCCACAGGAACATCATTCCGGACCACCACCACCTTCCCAACCGCATCTCCATCCAAGACCACTCAATCCACTCACGTTCCAAACTCTGCCACCTCCTCTGTCACTCCCACTTCTCACAGAGTGATCACCACAACACAACCCGAGACCCACTCTCCTTCCATCTCTACTGCAAGGCCAACAGGCTCTTCTCCATCATCGACACACGTCCCTGCCACAGGCACAGTGCCCTCACCCTCCACAGTGCCGTGGACACCTACCACAAGAGGAACCACCCAAGCCCCTCACTCTGTCAGCACAGCCAAAACCTCCACCTCCCTGGTGTCACACCCCTCCGCACCTGCCCACTCTGGCACCACATCTGCTCCACGCACCACCATCTCCACCAAGACCACCAGTAGAGGCACCGGGAGTCCGGGGACACACACCGCCACGGCCACACCCAACGGTCCACACACTCCCTTCACTTCTCACTCTCCACACACTGGTTCCGTGTCCACCACCTCCCACATTACAGGTCCGCCCACAGGAACATCATTCCGGACCACCACCACCTTCCCAACCGCATCTCCATCCAAGACCACTCAATCCACTCACGTTCCAAACTCTGCCACCTCCTCTGTCACTCCCACTTCTCACAGAGTGATCACCACAACACAATCCGAGACCCACTCTCCTTCCATCTCTACTGCAAGGCCAACAGGCTCCTCTCCATCATCGACACACGTCCCTGCCACAGGCACAGTGCCCTCACCCTCCACAGTGCCGTGGACACCTACCACAAGAGGAACCACCCAAGCCCCTCACTCTGTCAGCACAGCCAAAACCTCCACCTCCCTGGTGTCACACCCCTCCGCACCTGCCCACTCTGGCACCACATCTGCTCCACGCACCACCATCTCCACCAAGACCACCAGTAGAGGCACCGGGAGTCCGGGGACACACACCGCCACGGCCACACCCAACGGTCCACACACTCCCTTCACTTCTCACTCTCCACACACTGGTTCCGTGTCCACCACCTCCCACATTACAGGTCCGCCCACAGGAACATCATTCCGGACCACCACCACCTTCCCAACCGCATCTCCATCCAAGACCACTCAATCCACTCACGTTCCAAACTCTGCCACCTCCTCTGTCACGCCCACTTCTCACAGAGTGATCACCACAACACAACCCGAGACCCACTCTCCTTCCATCTCTACTGCAAGGCCAACAGGCTCCTCTCCATCATCGACACACGTCCCTGCCACAGGCACAGTGCCCTCACCCTCCACAGTGCCGTGGACACCTACCACAAGAGGAACCACCCAAGCCCCTCACTCTGTCAGCACAGCCAAAACCTCCACCTCCCTGGTGTCACACCCCTCCGCACCTGCCCACTCTGGCACCACATCTGCTCCACGCACCACCATCTCCACCAAGACCACCAGTAGAGGCACCGGGAGTCCGGGGACACACACCGCCACGGCCACACCCAACGGTCCACACACTCCCTTCACTTCTCACTCTCCACACACTGGTTCCGTGTCCACCACCTCCCACATTACAGGTCCGCCCACAGGAACATCATTCCGGACCACCACCACCTTCCCAACCGCATCTCCATCCAAGACCACTCAATCCACTCACGTTCCAAACTCTGCCACCTCCTCTGTCACGCCCACTTCTCACAGAGTGATCACCACAACACAACCCGAGACCCACTCTCCTTCCATCTCTACTGCAAGGCCAACAGGCTCTTCTCCATCATCGACACACGTCCCTGCCACAGGCACAGTGCCCTCACCCTCCACAGTGCCGTGGACACCTACCACAAGAGGAACCACCCAAGCCCCTCACTCTGTCAGCACAGCCAAAACCTCCACCTCCCTGGTGTCACACCCCTCCGCACCTGCCCACTCTGGCACCACATCTGCTCCACGCACCACCATCTCCACCAAGATCACCAGTAGAGGCACCGGGAGTTCGGGGACACACACCGCCACGGCCACACCCAACGGTCCACACACTCCCTTCACTTCTCACTCTCCACACACTGGTTCCGTGTCCACCACCTCCCACATTACAGGTCCGCCCACAGGAACATCATTCCGGACCACCACCACCTTCCCAACCGCATCTCCATCCAAGACCACTCAATCCACTCACGTTCCAAACTCTGCCACCTCCTCTGTCACTCCCACTTCTCACAGAGTGATCACCACAACACAACCCGAGACCCACTCTCCTTCCATCTCTACTGCAAGGCCAACAGGCTCCTCTCCATCATCGACACACGTCCCTGCCACAGGCACACTGCCCTCACCCTCCACAGTGCCGTGGACACCTACCACAAGAGGAACCACCCAAGCCCCTCACTCTGTCAGCACAGCCAAAACCTCCACCTCCCTGGTGTCACACCCCTCCGCACCTGCCCACTCTGGCACCACATCTGCTCCACGCACCACCATCTCCACCAAGACCACCAGTAGAGGCACCGGCAGCCCGGGGACACACACTGCCACGGCCTCGGCTACTCCCAACAGGCCACACACTCCCTTCACTACTCACTCCCCCCACACAGGTTCCCTGTCCAGCACCTCCCACATTACAGGTCCACCGACAGGAACATCATTCCGGACCACCACCACCTTCCCAACCGCATCTCCATCCAAGACCACTCAATCCACTCACGTTCCAAACTCTGCCACCTCCTCTGTCACTCCCACTTCTCACAGAGTGATCACCACAACACAACCCGAGACCCACTCTCCTTCCATCTCTACTGCAAGGCCAACAGGCTCCTCTCCATCATCGACACATGTCCCTGCCACAGGCACAGTGCCCTCACCCTCCACAGTGCCGTGGACACCTACCACAAGAGGAACCACCCAAGCCCCTCACTCTGTCAGCACAGCCAAAACCTCCACCTCCCTGGTGTCACACCCCTCCGCACCTGCCCACTCTGGCACCACATCTGCTCCACGCACCACCATCTCCACCAAGACCACCAGTAGAGGCACCGGGAGTCCGGGGACACACACCGCCACGGCCACACCCAACGGTCCACACACTCCCTTCACTTCTCACTCTCCACACACTGGTTCCGTGTCCACCACCTCCCACATTACAGGTCCGCCCACAGGAACATCATTCCGGACCACCACCACCTTCCCAACCGCATCTCCATCCAAGACCACTCAATCCACTCACGTTCCAAACTCTGCCACCTCCTCTGTCACTCCCACTTCTCACAGAGTGATCACCACAACACAACCCGAGACCCACTCTCCTTCCATCTCTACTGCAAGGCCAACAGGCTCCTCTCCATCATCGACACACGTCCCTGCCACAGGCACAGTGCCCTCACCCTCCACAGTGCCGTGGACACCTACCACAAGAGGAACCACCCAAGCCCCTCACTCTGTCAGCACAGCCAAAACCTCCACCTCCCTGGTGTCACACCCCTCCGCACCTGCCCACTCTGGCACCACATCTGCTCCACGCACCACCATCTCCACCAAGACCACCAGTAGAGGCACCGGGAGTCCAGGGACACACACCGCCACGGCCTCGGCCACTCCCCACCGGCCACACACTCCCTTCACCTCTCACTTTGCCCCCACGGGTTCTGTCTCCACCACTTCACAGTTCACTTCTCTCACCACCCGAGTTCCCTTGCCCAGCCCCATGTCATCCACGCTGGGGGTGACATTCATCCGAAGTTCTCCAGCCACGAACCTCACTACCAAGCATCCTGGTACCACTGGACTGCAGACCACTCTCTTCCTCACCAGCTCCATCACTGCGCACAGAAGCTCCTCTTCCCCCACTGCAGGTTCCTCCACCTCCTCTCTCCTCACATCCAGGCCCAGCTTCTCCAGTAAGTGCTATCTCCACAGCCTACCCAATGAGCCTGTGCACTGCATCCTCCTAGCCGTGCCTCTCTACTGGGCCACGTTCTGGGACACTCCCATGGTGCCCCTCCCTTTTCTTGACTCCTCACACTGCCCGATGACCACTGGGGCTTCTCCTTCCCCTCCCTGCCTCTGTCCCCCACTCTGTGCTCACATCACACCTAGCTCACTGCTGTGTGGGAGGTGGGCAGGTCTCTTTTCCTGCCCCTGAAGCCTTCACCTGTTCCGGCACAGCAGGGCCGCACAGGGTGTGGTGCACCAAGTCAGAGAGCCAGCTTACCCTCTGGCCAGGTGTATGCTCTGGGTGTCCCCAGCTGTGCCTTCTGGGGGTCTGGGTCTCACCTCCTCCACTATGCTTCCCCATACCTCCGCGCTCTGTCCTGTCCTATGCCTTGTGTTCCCCCACCCTTGGGACCTATTCTCAACTCTCCTTGTCAGGGTGTCAGTTCCTCTCTCCCTCTTCCCCAGCTTCCTCCTCCCTCCTCCCCTGGAACCTCTTCAGAAAACCCCACAAGAGGAACCACCCAAGCCCCGCCCTTGTCAGCACCTGGCTGGAATGCACACCTGGCCTTCCCTATTGATCCCCTTCCCCTGCAGTCCTGGCCTCCCTTTGAGGAGACCCTCTGCTCAGCAGCCTTCCACTGCTGTCCCCTGCAGAGCTCAGAGGAGGTTCGGGCTGGCAGGGGTCTGGGGAGCAACTATTCCCACCTTCCCCGAGGCTGCAGAAAGCAAAGCAAAGGCTGGTAGGCCATGCCTCACCCCAGGTGACCACTAAGGGCCGAGCTGGGACTAGCAGCACGCTCTCAGCCCTGCAGCCTCCTCCAGTGTCCACTCTGTCCTCTGCACCCAGGCCAGCTGCACCCACCTTGTCCTCCAGAGATGCCACTCCCCTCCCTTTTGGGTGTTCCCTCCACAGAACACCCTGGACTGGGCTCCCCTCACAAGCCCCAGGCAGGACTGTTCACAGTGACACATTTCTCCTGGGAAACGGCCTAGGTGCAGGTCAAAGCTCATAGGTCCACTCAGGGACCACACAGCCATGCAGGAAACTCCCGTATGGTGACACTGATGTCCTCTTCTCGTCCCCCCTGCAGGTTCTGAGCCCAGCCAACCAGACACACCTATGCCCGCAGGTAGGTATCAGCTGGGAGGGGAGGTGGCTGGGGAGGCTGGGGAGCAGCGTGGGAATCTGCCTCATCCCGAGACAGCCCTGGACCGTGGGGGAGACCAGCAGGCTTTATTCCCGGGGTGAGGTCAGACCCGGGGGGTTCGGGCAGGAGAGACAGCACAGGTAGGGCCCAGGTAAGTGCCGACCGGCCCCCACGGGGCCCAGGCTCATCTCCTGGCTCCCTGGGCCGGCATCACTCGGCGTCCCACACAGACAGGGCTTGAGGAGCCCAGGCCCAGAGCCCGCAGGTCCCCCAGCCCCACCTCCTGAGGGCCAGGCACAGACCCCGGGGGGGCAGCACCGTCACCTGGCTCTGGGGCTGGCGTCTCACTTCCTGCCTCCACTTCTCAGAGGTCTGCCGAGTGCGGGAGCTGGAGGAGGAGCTCACTTACCAGGGGTGCACAGCCAACGTGACAGTGACCCGCTGCGAGGGTGTCTGTGCCTCCTCAGCCAGGTGAGCTGTCACCCGGGCGGTCTCCATCTACTGCTGGGCTCTGAGCTTGGAGCCGCCTTACCCAGCAGAGGCTCCCAGGGGGTGGTCGGGCAGGTCCAGCCAGGATCTCCTGCCGCATCTCAACCACCCTTGCAGCTGACCTCCAACAGCTGGGAAGGTCACCAAAGAGGCCCGCCCCAAGGCCCTGCCAGGGTCTGCCCTTGTCTGGGTGGTTGGGGAGGAACGGGGATCCTTCCCCGAGGCCGCAGGCTTGACCATGTACCTTCGGCGGATTCTTTAGTTTCAACGCCTACACCAACCAAGTGGACACCCTCTGCAGCTGCTGCCACCCCCTTGGCTCCTACGAGAAGCAGCTGGTACTGCCCTGTCCAGACCCTGGGGCACCGGGCAAGCAGCTGGTGCTCACGCTGCAGGTGTTCAAACGCTGCGCATGTGGCCCCTGGCGCTGCAGAGACCAGGGGCAGCCCCCCTGGTGAGAGGATGAAGCACCGCTCCCAGCGCCCAGCCCTCTCCCCCTCCCATCCCCTCCCCGGCTTGCTGTGCCCGGCAGCCCCTTTCTAGGCCTGGCCTCAGAGCCCTGGGTGCAGCTCATCCAGGCACCTGCAGGAAGGGCCTACCGGGCAGGGGTCCCGCAGACCCTGGCCCACCCCACACAAGCCTTTCGGGACACGCCCACCCATCGTCCATACTGCCTCCCAGCCTTAGAGGGAAGCTGCCCGGCCCTGCCCAACCGGACCCTGGGGCCCAAGGAAGGGCAATGATGGGCAGGGGAGAGGCAGCAAGGAGAGGGGCCGAGCAGTCGGGAAGGGAAGTGAGGGCACCAGCCTGCCCACCAACACAGCTCGCCCGGGGGAGGGGTGTCCCAGCGCCGTGCCCGACAAGCCCGGGGAACAGAGGACAAATAAACTGGCCCTGGTCAAGGCATGAAGCCACCTGAGCTCTGCTTGTCGTCTCCATGCCCCTTGGCACCCGTGAACCCCAACCCCACCTGCCCCACGAGGCCAGGCTGCATCGGCCAGGACCCACCCCCACAGGCCCCTCGCCCTCCTTGGGCCCACCTCCAGGGTCCCTCCCTCACTCGGGACTCTCCTGGGAAGCCCTCCTCCCGTGGGATCCTGCTCCCAGTCTGTGGTGGGGTCACCCCTCCCATGAGCTCTGGAGGCTTGTTCCCCAGGAGGAACCCTTAGACCCGCGGCCTCCAGGCGGCAGACTACCCCACACGTCCTGCCCAGAGGAGAGCAAGGCCGGGCGGGGCCCAGCAGGATGGCCCCACAGGCTCAACCTTACACCCTGAAGCCACATGCAGAGCGAAAGGCACATCACCTCCAGCGCACCTAAGCTTCTGCCGTGGCCGGGCCGCCACGCTCTGGAGCAGCGGCCGCCAACTGGTGGTCTGTGAGGTCCGAAAGGTTGGCGACCGCTGCTCTGGAGGACGACCCACCCAAGGCGGCGCCCTGCCGTGTCAGGGGGTCAATGGCCTCCCGCTGCAGGCAGGGGCTTTCCCTCCACCTTCCCGTCCCTCCAGGGACAGCACACACGTTCCTGTCATGGTCCTGGTGTTGACTGTCCCTTGGAAGGAGCACACTTCATGGTGCTCCCTCCTACAATGCACTAGCCCAGGCGTAGCTCAGGGAGGGCGCCGACGGACACAGGAGAACCCCGTGGGCGGGCGGGCCACACGGCAGTGCGGGAGCGCCCGCACCGCCAGCAGCTTAAACAGACGCACAAGGAGCATCACTGTGTGGCCGGCCACGTCAGCGGTTAAACCTACAAATTAAAGGGAAACTAAAAGGCCACTCCTGTCCCTGCAAGGACCCCTGGACACAGAGGCGCACGCGGAGGTGGTGGTTACGCAGGTCTCTGTGGGTCACAGAGCATGCACGCAGGGGCTACACTGACGTTGGTGGGGTGTCTGCAGTGTGGCTGCCCCAGGCCCAGAGGGCGCCTCCGTGCCTCTGCCTCCCCGGGACCCACACCACAGCACAGGCTCATGGGGGTCTGAGGCGCCTCTCGGGGTGCCCAGTGCCTGCTGGGAAACTGGGAAACCAACCAAGCCCTGGCTCCTCCGAGGCCCTCAGGTGCCACCTACCAAGCTGAGCTGCTACCCTCTGCACACCAGCCCCAAGCAGAACAGAGGCCCTGGCTGGCTGGGCTCCTGGGTGGCAGCTCAGGGTGCACACATGCAGGCTGGCGGCCAGGACAGAGTGACCGCCACCAGCGCTGAGTGATGAGAGTGGCGCAGGGTGACACCCTCCTGTGCCCATGCCAGCCACACTGGCTGCAATTATGACCCAGGAACAACGGCGCTGACAGCCCAAGGCTACCAAAAGGGAAGAGACCAGCTTGCCTTCTAGAATCTTCTCTGCTGGTCACATTTAACCCTCCAATCACAGATGGGAATCAGTCCCTGGCCACTACGGTGAAGCCCAAAGATGAGTGAGGTCAGCTACACACCCTCTAGAGCCCCCCGTACCCTCCCCACGCACAGTCAGTCGGCACTGCAAACCCCCTTGGGAACACTGTGCTGGAAGGGAGCTGAACCCAGCGGGATGCACGTTGGGGAGGCAGAACAGATGTCCCCTCGTCTAGACCGCAAATCCTGCCCTGGGAGAGCCAGGCTCAGCACGGCAGCTGGCGTGCTCTGGGCTCCGGCCCCAAGCACAGGGCCCAAGCAAGGCCCCAAGCAAGGCCCAAGCACAGGGCCAGGCCACATGGGGACCTCATCACGTAGCTCCTGCCCTGGCGGCTCCCACAACAGGCACATGCCTGGTTCAGGTTGAGCCCCACGACGAAACACTGCCACCTGCCTCTGAGAAGCAGAGCAGCAGCACAGCGGTGGTATACGAAAAAGTTCCAGAAACTATCCATTTTCATTCAAACTTCTAGTTTCCCTTTAATTTGTAGGTTTAACCACAGAACTGTCCTGATTTCTATAAAAACGGATCCCAGGGCCGCCCTCCTGACCTGGCAGGCCGGCTGCGGTGCAGGCTCAGCCTCTGTCCTCACACTGCGCCATCCCGTCCACCCTGAGGGACGAGGCAGGCTGGCGGGCCTGCAGCTGTGCAGACAGCGGCTGAGCGAGGAGTCGCGGGGCTAGAACTGCTCCGACAGCAGCGCACACAGCCTCTGGGAGACGGTCTCCTTGCTCGTCCGCAGCGTGAGCCGGTACATCTGCAACAGAGAGGCCGGTCAGGGCCCAGGTTCACAGCCATCACAGCCCGGGCACCGCCTCGCACTCCCCGCTCAGCCCTGGCCCTCCTGAGGGGCCCAAAGCTCTAGCACCTCGAGCGTATCACACTCTCGGCCACAGCTGACGGGAAGGATGAGGTGGCAGGTGCTGGTGTGCACAGGAGCTGCTGCTGGGGGGGACAATCCCAGCCCCTGGAGAGTAGGGGCAGCTACTCACCCACTAACCACATGTGGGCCTGTGAGCGCGCTCCTCACTGCGTCCCACCCGCCGTCTGCACAAAGGCCTGCCCAGAGCACCCGTAGCAACCCTGCCCCCACACCGCCCAGGGGTCCGTCAGTAGGAAGGCCACCAGGACTGGCACAGCACTGCCTCGAGGGGAGGCGGAGCTGGCGGCCAGGCTCCGTGGAATTTTCGGGTGGGATGGGAGTGTCATGCGCAGGGTGGTGGGTTCCCCTGGGCACTCATGACCCCACACTAGGCTCTGGCTCCCCGTGGCAACCACACCCTGAAGCCACGCCGTGGAGGCAGCCATGTCCTCAAGAGGCTGACCTGAGCCTGGAGGTTCGGCTCCAAGCGCAACAAGCACCCGATCTGCGTGGTTCTGGTGTGGATGATCCCGGCTCCCACAAAATTGGCAGGATTCGGATCGACCTCTTCCAGGAGCGCGGAACCAAACCCAATAATCTGTGCAAAGGAAACGGGAAGCTGGGACACCGCGGCTGCAGGTAGACACAGGGCCACCCCGGGAGCACCGCCAACAAGGCCATCACCTTGGCTTTGGTGATTTCTGTGTCCATTGGATGCTTTGCCTTGAAAATGTTCTGCACCTCCTGCTGGGGACTGAGACACAAACCAGCGTCAGACCTTCCGCCGAGGGACCACAGGCCCAGCCGCCCCTCCCCCTCCCGCACAGGGGCCGCTCACCTGCTCAGCTGCTTCCAGCGCTGAAAGAAGTCCTGGGAGGCCATTTCTGTGGGCTGGAAAAACTTGTTGAGTGTGATGGGCAACTTGACGGACACATTCTGAAAGGTTCCGCCATACCTGCGAGCAAGAGACGTGCTGAGGAGAGCCGCGGGCAGCAGGGGACTGCCACTCAGCTGGGGGCCAAGCCCCTGCCTGCCCATCTCCAGGCACAGAGGGCTGTGGTCCAAGGTGGGGGGCTCCTGCCTCAGCGCCTCATCCACCCAGCCGCTAGAGGGGCTGTCCTGCCCACAGGGGGCAGCATTTGGAGGGTGGCTCGGCCTGGCCCGGGCACTGTCACTGAGAGGACCGCACACTCGTGCCTGCTCCTGGGCACCTGTCCTGCGGTGGCCGTGCTGCTCTGGCCGAGCGCTGCAGGCGACACCCCCGAAGACATCCACCCCCTCACTTTCCCCATCAGGCCACGCCCACAACTGCAAGTCAGTTGAAATTGTGTCGGGTTTTTCCTCTTTTCATGAAAAGAAAATGTGCCTGTTTCCCTCAATTCCACAAAGTATACGATCTTCAGTTCTCTGTGTATTTGATGTTTGAAAATATGCTTTTCCATGCCCGTGGGTGTAGCTCAGGGGTTGAGTGTTGACCCAGGAACCAAGAGGTCGCCGGTTCAATTCCCGGTTAGGGCAAATGCCCGGGTAGTGGGCTCAGTCCCCTGTGGGGAGCGTGCAGGAGGCAGCCGATGGATGACATTTCTCTCATCGATGTTTCTTTACATCTCTATCCCTCTCCCTTTCTCTGAAAGTCAATAAAAAAATATTTTTAAAAAAATTGTACCTGGGTTGCGGGCACATCCCCAGTAGGAGATGTGCAGGAGGCGGCTGATCGATGTTTCTCTCTCATCGATGTTTCTGGCTCTCTATCTCTCTCCATTCCTCTCTGTGAAAAATCAAAAAAATATATTTAAAAAATACATGCCTTTCCAAAAATGTAACTTCACAAACACTCAACAGTGAACTGGTCAACCATATACACTCTATTGTAGCCACTGAAAAATAACACTAGTGAACCAGTAACAACACCAAAAATAAGTGTGGGTCTTTTTGGTAATCAAAACAGTGTGTCTGCAGAAGCACTCACAGCAGATGAGGCCTGGAGGGACACCCCCCTGCAGCGGCACAGGGGACCTGCTGGTCCCGCCCCAGCTGACACGCCAGCAGGCACCGCAGGGTCTGGACTCACTCTCCCCCACCTCCATCCTCTGTAGCTGGTGTTGCAGCTGAGCAAGGACGAATGGCTCCCAGGGACACAGCTGCGTGCAGGTGAGCCCCAGCCCCTCAAGCTCCAGGTCAGCGCCAGGATTGGGACACCCCGCCAGCCAGCAGCGCCCCACCTGGGCTCTCACCTGAACTGGATGTTGAGAACTGGTGCTTCGGTGAAGTCCGACACACACTCGATGTTGACAACCTGCTGCACCTGCGCGCCCCCGTCCACTGTCGGATCCACGGGCTTGGTCTGCAGGCTCAGGTGTGTGCGTGTCAAGGCCATTTCAACTAGCAAAGTGGCTCCGGGCCAAACCAGCCTGCGCTCCCCGTGCCCGGGGAGCCCAGCAATAAGAGACCTTCTAGAAGGGGCTCAGAAGAGTGGTGCTCATGCTGATGTTGGACGAAACCTTTAGTAGAGTTGAACCTACGTACAAGTATTTTTAAAGACTTCTGAAACACCGCCTTGACAGGCTACATTT